GGCAAGCCTAGTGCAATAACAACCCAACCAGGAGAGCTGTGAAAAGAGTCAAGCTGGAATTAAGAGTGGGTTTTATCGGGGCAATAAATGCCAGATAGTGAAAATAACAAACAGGTTGTTAATTGCTGCCATCTCTCAACTCCCTGAAGGAAGCGTCTAGACAGAGCCCAGCCCTGGGTCGCAGCCACCCCGGCTATGGGGCTGGTCTTATAGGGCCAGCGGGGTGCTGGATGTGGGATGGGAAAGGATGCTGAGCCAGAGCCCTGTGGGCACAGACACGCAAGATGGGTTTGAAGCCCTCCCCAGCAGCACCACATGGCCACGCTCTGCCCTAAATCAGCCGTGCTCCCGCAGAGGTAGAAGCCAGACAGTCTGCAGCAGCTATTAATAATTCAGTCCCCATTTGTCCCATGGAGGAGAGTGGGAATTGTGGCCAAGCGTCGGGGTTTGAGACAGCCCTGGGGTGCTGGCAGATCCCATGCAGGGTGGGGTTGCTGTTGGGTTGCCCTGACTGGGGCTGCATTGGTGTTCACCCTCTTCCCCTCAGCTCTAGGGTTGGTTTACTGGCATCGATCACTCAGGGGCTTTTGCTTCACAGCTCTCAGTGCATCTCAGCTTGCTGCAATTAGGGCCAGATCCTGCTTTCAGCTGTGCCAATGGCAGTGTGAAACAACCCCAGCCAACTCAATGCAGCTGAGCATGCTGCAGCCAAGCAAGCTTTGTGCACGCGGGTGGTTGGCCCCAAGGCAGCCACCAAACAGGGAAGCAGAGCCCTGAGACTTCTGTGCCCCGAGAAACACTCTTGCTGAATTTTTCCCAAAGTATTTTCTAGCAGCTACTGTGTGTTAATTGAATTTTGCCATTTGAAAAATGCATGACCCTCTGTAATGGAGGGAGAAAGCGTTCCTCCTATAGGAAGATAAAGATGCATTTGGAGGGGGGGGGATGGGGAAGCAAAACACAAAAGCTGGCTGATTATATATTGACCTGAGAGACAAAGTGAATCCAATGGAGCCAGCTTGCTCCCTTAGGAAAACTTGAGGCTGCTCATTATGGCCTGGGATGAGCTCACTGCCGGCGTAACTCCATCCACACTGCCTGTGTGTGCCTATGGGCAAGCAGTGCTCCTCATCAGGACCCCAAAACACTGTACGGGAGAGGGCCTTAGAAATAGTTCTAATCATCAGCTGAACGCTGTCAGATATTGCAACACAGTTTTGCTGTAGGATCGGGCAGTTCGAGGGGCAGTGATGGAGATGCCAATGGGAGCCAAGCTTTCTGCTATGGGGGAGTTGCTGGCCGTCTCCACCCCAACACACAGAAGCAGCACAGCAGGAGTTTTGTAATTCCCTGGCATGCCTGGATCCCACTGAGCAAAGGACGGCTTTGTTAGCTAAGGAAATGGAATTCCCCAGCATGAGTTGCCATATGAATTTTGGGAAAGAGCCCTCCTTGCCCAGAAATGTTGCCCATATGATTCTTCGTCACATTTAAGCCACAAACAATGCAAATTTCCCAGTTTCCATACAACTGCCTTTGGCCCCAGACAGGTTTTTCTCAGAAAGTCTGTTACTTATTTTTTTCTCAGAAGAAAGTCTGTTTTCCTTACAGGAACACCAGGGAAAAAGGAGCACGGAGGATGGCTCTCTCATCAGCCCACGCTTTGATGAACCCGAGCATCACCTTTACCACTCCTGAGCAAACTCCGTTCCAGAAATATTTCCAATGGTCCACAAATTTCCAGCCTAAATTTGTTCTCCTGCCAGAGCTCTCTGTTAGCACAGATACCACTCAAGCCTTGCCTGGTCTTATCTTTCCTTTGTTTCTTCCCGAGAAAAGCTCACTCCTTTATGGCTAACCCAGCCCTGAGCATTGGTTTTGCAGCAAAAGCCCTTTCAGCTCTTAGTGCATACAGAGCCGAGCAGGAGTTACTGTTGGCATTCCTGAAAAGCCACATTCTTCCTTTCAGATCAGTTTATTCCAGCTTCTTATAGATTAGCCGGAGCCGATAAACTTGGCATTACGAGGCGCTCGCAGGTATTATCCTTTCCCCTGTCACTTCTGGCCAAATCGCAAGAGATCTGCAAAGATTTGCAGCAATGTTTGGTTGCTGTTCCCCCTGCCTCCTGCCAGTGCCTCCTGCCAGTTTGACCACGTGCCCGGTCTAAGAGAGCAGTGAGTCAGCTTGGCAAAACCCAATAAATGCAACAGCCCAAAGCCACTCGTGGATCAGAACGGACCCATGGGTCTCAGGAGCTCCAATCCACCCCAGCATCCCCTTCTGGCTCTTCCCAGCCCTATCCGTGCTGCAACACCTCTGACACCATTCTGTTTGGATGCTCTGTGGGCTAAGATGAGACTTAGAAACTGTAGCCATCTTCCAAAGCCCCTTTGCATTCGTGTGCATCGATGTTGAGGCGCTCTGCCCATTTCCATTACCTTGGGATGTGTTGCTTCTTCTCCCACACTCATCCATCAGTGGCAGAGGAAACCCAATGGAGCATCTTCCAGCAGAGGCACAACTTCTAGACAGCTGAGGTGAGGTGCAAGGGGCATCACGTCCTTGCAAACAACAGCATTAGTCCAGTGTGGTCATTGCAGGATTAGGCAACAAAGGGACAAATTCAAGCTTATTTTGACCGTGGTTTCTAGGATTTAGCCCCTCTGACCCACTGTCCAGTTTCAGAGTTGGGCAACATCCCCACCTGCGACTGAGAAAGGTGAGTAGATCAGTGCCTGTGGAGAAAGAACTGCTTTACATGGAGAGAAAGTCAATTAGCTGGGGAATTAAGATTTAGTGCACGCCACGAGCAGCAGGCATGTATAAAGGAGACAGCTGTTAAATTTAGTATGTGACAAAGTCATGCGAGCACTAACTGGATTACTTGCATTTATTTGGGAATACTTATGTATTTTATTATGCAACGTATAGATCATCATAATTCTGCTTTTCACTCCAATGCCGTCTCTCCTGCAAGCATCTTAGAGAGCATTACAAACAATTAAGCCTGCCTGTGCCTCTGTGCAGCACTCAGCGCTCTATCTGCTTTGTGGGCATTGCAAATATTTTAGATTGGAGATGACTTAATTAATGTCATTGATTTAACTCTGCCTGGGTCGAACCCCCAAGCAGCTGCTGTTCCTGGGCTGATCTGATGGGGATGAACTGGTCCAGAAGCTGCTGGAGTAAGTTTTCCAGGGGTGGAAAGCCATCAACCCAAAGGGGTGGAAAATCATCACCCCAAAGGGATGGAAAACCATCAATTCAAGGGGATGAAAAGCCATTAACGTCAAAGGGTTGGAAAGATACCCATCCCAGGGGGATGGAAAGCCATCCACCCAAAGGGGTGGAAAGTCAACAACACCAAAGGGAAGGGAAAGCCAACAAGCCAAAGGGATGAAAAGTCATCCACGCCAAGGGGATGGATGTTTTGAACCATTTCAGTGAAGAAATGGGAGCCAATGAGTCCGTGAGAGAGGAGCGTGGCACAGATGCTCCCTGCAGGCTCCTCCAGCATGCCCTTCCATTCTGCAGACAGCTTTGTCTGTCCCCAGGACTGCTCGTGAGAGGCACAAGCTGCTCCCAGCCTCCTTTGCTGGCACAGTGCTGGAAGAAGTGACAGATAGCTCCAGCTATCTGCCTCCAGCTGCCTCTCCAGGGAGCAGATCTGGCGGCAGTGTGTAATCCTGCCTGCTGAGTGCGGTCCAGACACCACCAGCCGTTATTAATCCTTTGTACCAGGCCTGCGGGGACTGGCAGCATACTGTCTGAGAGCACTGCAGCACGGTAGCCTCCTTCTCCAGGCTACTCCTGGGTCAAGGAGGTGGAGGAGGCAGAGGAGGATGGAGGAGCACCGGGAGCTGATAGGTGGACCGCTGAGAAGTCCCCATAGGACAAGCAGAATCCTAAGCCTCAGCTGGTGCTGTTTGTAGATACCCCGCCCCTGGAGGTGCCCAAGGCCAGGCTGGATGGGGCTCTGAGCAAACAATCTGGTGGGCAGCAGCTCTGCCCATGGTAGGCAGGTTGGAACTGTAGCCAAGCCATTCTATGATACTATAATTACTGTAGAGCAATCGGTCTGTATTAAAAAAAAAAAAAAAAAAAAAGCACTGATTAGAGCAAAGACAACTCTCTGGCACTTAACAACAAAGGACAAAGGGGGCAGGGGATGCTCACATCCTGCCTGGGCTTAGAGAGGTGATGGGGCACAGCTGCGCTCCCACTCGCACCGCGTGGCACGGAGCGAGGCACGTTGCTGGCCCTGTTTTCCATTTATAGGAGCCTGTCAGAAATGGCACTCCTCTCCAAGCAGATGTCGAAAAATTAGAGGGAATTCAGAGAGCAGCAGGGAAAGAAAAAAAAAAAAAAAAAAAAAAAAAAAAGTGATTAAAGGAGATGGAGGGCCTGCTTTTGGAGGGAAAAGAAATCAGCGGAGCTATTTATATCGCTGCCTGCACCGGGGCGGGGAGGAACAGGAGGATTTTTAAAGTGCCTCGAGAGCTTCGCTAAGGGGAAGGGACACCTCTGGAGGATGCAATAGGGTGTGGATGCTGATCCATCTGACGCGGTGTTGGCTGAGTGCAGGGCAGCCCCAGGATCTCCATCGTGTCCCTTAGGGTTTGCTGGGTGCTCTCTGGGTTTCTCCCTGCCGTGCTTTGGCTGCTTTCCTTGCCTTCAGTCTGCAGGGTTTGCTTTAGGGCTCAGCCTGGAGATGCAGGACGGAGATTTTGGCAGGCGGTACGCAGGAGTGGGGATGCTTTGCAGATCAAAGCCTTCACCGTGCCTTTAACACAGCCCTTTTTGCAGCGCTGAGTCCCCACTGAAGATCACCGCTTGGAAGCAACCGCTTGGAGCTGAGATCGCAAAGTGGCAACGCATTAACGCCACCGGGCACAGCTCTGCCCAAACCCTTTGGGTTGGGTTTTGGGGGGACGAAAGGAAACCCCAAGCAATGCTGTGGCCCTCTGCTCACATCCGTGTCTTTCTGCTTGCCTTGCAGGACCTCCCATTCCCGGGCCAAGGCGGAGGCAGCTATGACAGCGGCGCAGAAAGCCCAGGAGGAAGCGCGCATCGCCAGGATCACTGCCAAAGAGTTTTCGCCTTCCTTCCAGCACAGGGAAAACGGTCAGTTTGTGATGCCCCACTGGACGGCCCCACATTGCACGTCTCCCATATCAGGGTTCGCAAATAGAACTGGTATAAATGAGCTCTGCACACCCTCAGTGTGTCTGCAGCTCCCTGGCACCATTGGGTGCCCAGAGCATCAGCTTGTGGAGCCTTATTTTTCCATATGCAGCACAACACTCTACCCCGTGCAGCCCTATCATTGTAGACTTTGGCTTCTTGCATTGAAACAATTCCATCTTTTAACACATAGTCTCCAATGGTTGCCCAGAAAACAAAAACCGATGGCTCCAAAAGCAACACGCAAATTCAGAGGATCCCAAAGGTACCCACTGTTTTACCCCCATGGCTTCGAGAGCTTGGTTTTTTGTTTCTCTGGAATGTTTGGGCTTTGTAAGTGTGTGTTATGTGCTCCTTCAGTGCAAAGGAATCAAGAAACACGCACTCAGGGTTTGCCCAATGGCTTTGTATGCGTTTACATGTGCACAGAGCCAGGCTTCCCTCTGGCATTTCCAGCTTTCCTCAATGGTTTCTATCAGGTTTTGCCCATCAAGGGCTGAGGTTTGCTCCAACTGTGGGGGAGCAGGCAGTGCCCAGCTGAGCAGTTTGCTCTCAGGAAGGGTTCTGGGAGGAGGAAGCCAAGGATGCTCAGCCCACGGGGGGATTCGTCCCACCACGGCTGCGCGTAGATGGGTGGGAGGGAGCTATCCAACTCCCCGCAGCAATAATTAACATAGTAATTAATGTATGTGAATGGCTTTATTCAAAACTTTTCCTGCACCAAACCCTCATTAGGAGGCGTCTGTCATTATTTTCTCCCCTCTCCAGCTCTTTAACTGGAGATTACTCATTCCCCTTAATTGCTCGAGGGCTGGTGCCGGTGACTCACGTCGGGGTGCTGCTCGCCAGGCAGAGGGGATCTCTCAACCCCACCATCCCATGCAGTGGGTATGCTGCAGAGCCTCACACAGCCCCATTTTTGCTGGTAGAAAGCACAGCCCTGCTCAAACACCCCTCAGCTCTCCTCCACCTGCAGACCTCCAATTTGTCTGTCGGATATCAGAGCATTTTTTTCTCAGGGCTGTGTGGTCCCTGGGGCTTCCTCAGCCCTGAGATATTCCTCATCTCCATTTCCTCTTGGCTGTTTTAAAACACCTCTTGGAAAGATGCTTTTAGGTAATACATTTTTTACTAGCTGCTGGATGGGGACGCAGTGCACAGCTGGTGGTGGGACTCGTGCTTCTGGCGCTCACCCCTTGGTGGGTCATGCATGAGGGAAGGGGGGCAGGAGCTTCCATTTAGAGCACATTAAAAAACAAACACACCACCCAAGACGCGGGGAACCCTGGGGCACGTGCTCTCCTTGAAGATGCCATGGCCAGGCAGAGCTGCCTTAATTCTCCTGCTGGAAATCCAGATTTGGTGCTCCGCATCCTCCGTAGCGCTCTCACAACGGTTCTTCCAGGAACATCACGTGCTTGCCAGCTAATTTTAGAGCAGAATAATTGTTGAACATCCTTTGGTACCGAAAGCCGGCAGGATGGCACCATGCATCTGTCGTGTTCCTCTGCAGAGAGCAGCCTGCAGCCCTGCATCGCTGCCCGACCCCCAGCCCCAGCCAGGGCTGCACAGTGCACGGGGTTAAAACACACAGGGAAGGAGAAGCAGAAATAGTTCAGCCCGTTACAGGTCTGGGTGGGGAAGATTTGAGATGGAGTGAGGATGCAGGGACTTGCTTAGTGGGCATGGTGGGGGTGGGTCAGCAGTTGGACTTGATGGTCACAGTAGTCTTTTCCAACCTTAATGATTCTGTGATCCTAGGGTGAGGATGCAGGAGCATGGTAGGGCTTTCTCACCTCTATCACAGGGCTCGGGGTGGCTGTGAGAACCTTGGGATGATGTGAAGGGGATGGAGCAGAGTTGTGAGCAGACTGAGGCTGGCTTTGGGGTGGTAGGAGCTGGTGGGAAGCTTTCCAGTCCTTGCACCTCCATGGAGAACCTTGGAGACCTGAACAGGGGAAGAGTGCTCAAAACTTGAGACAAGCAGGGATGCTCAAGAGGACAGGAGAAAATGGCCTTAGGTTGCACCAGGGGAGGTTCAGTTTGGATATCAGGAACAATTTCTTCCTCTGCATGAGCAGTCAGGCTCTGTCATAGGCTGAGCAGGGAGTGGTGGGGTCACTGTCCTTGGGGGTGATCCAGAACCGTGGAGAAATGGCACTGAGGAACGTGGTCACTGGGCATGGTGAGGTTGGTCATGTTGGATTTGGTGGTCTTAGTGGTCTTTTCCAACCTGAATGATTCTACAGTCCTTAATATCAGGTGAGCCCACACCAACAGCTGGCTGCATCTGAGCCACACAAGCAGCTTTCCCATACGTAGCTGTTTATTCCCTCCCCACCTCAGTTTCCCATGTGTGAGCCAGGAAGACGTGAATTGGGAACATCTCCCCAGCAGCCAGCAGCCCACTTACCTGTATTTTCCCCAGAAAGCTCTCGGGGAGTTTTTCTGCACAAAAACAGAGCAGTGAGCTCTACCTTTCTCCTTCATTCCAGTTCCCCGCAGTACCAGAATTGCCCAGGGACCCCAGATAAACCCTGGGAAACCCATTCTCCCACAGATTCACAGGGAACCAACTAAGACCAAGCTGTTTGAGTACTGTCCCAAAACACAAACAGAATTTCCTGTGGCAAACAACACAGAAAAGAAAACATACTAGGAGCCCAACTTCCCATTGAGAAATTACTTCAGCAGGAAAATCCCAAGCTCCTGCTGGCCTCCCCTGCAAGTCCTCCAGTGGGGACATCCGTCAGCATCTCCCATACGTATCCAGATCACATCATGGGGTGCACAGGGACGGCTCCCCAAGAAGTCACACGAGAGCAAATGGCTCAGAGAAAGCATAGAGATTAGAGCAGACGCTTCCGAGCATTTATTTTTAAACCATGGTAAGAAATTGAGTTCTTCTTTTTGAGACTCATTTCTTGTCTAGCCATAGCAATTGCAATTAGATGCATTTCAGGGGCATTAGGCAGTTAATATATTTATCAAATTATTCATGTAATTTAGCACGGCTTTAGCTGAGTACAGCTATGCGGGTAAAATGAGACTTAACCACTGGTGGCGTGCAACCCTCCGAAATAATTTAGTGTCTCACGAAGCATTAATACCACTCAGAGTTTTTAGTTGTTCGGAGGTGAGTTCTTCTCACCGGCCACCTGCAGAAGACGCTCAGCTGCTCCTGAGCTGCCCATCCCCAGGGAGAAGCCACCTGGTGTCCCTTGGGCTCAATGTGTGATGGCTTTGCTCTCGGTCTCCACGTGATGCCTTGGGCTCAATGCATGATGCCTTCGCTCTTGGTCTCCGCATGATGCCTTGGGCTCAATGCATGATGCACAACTTGGCATGAGTTGTGCATGGCTCCTCTCTGCTGCAGTCCTGACCCTATAGCTTCCGGGCCACCCAATGCTCATCTCTCCTCTTTGTCATTAAAAAACGAGCAGAAATAACCCAGTCTCCTTTCCTCCCTCTCTCTTTTCCCCTTCAACCACTCCCTGAAAAGGGCTCGAATGCCAGAGACCCAAACGCCAGAACTCGAGCGACGACATTGAGGTCCTCTCCACCGGCACGCCGCTGCAGCAGGAGAGCCCCGAGCTCTACAGGAAAGGGACGACGCCGTCCGACCTGACCCCCGAGGACAGTCCTCTGCAGAGCTTCCCCGCCAGCCCCTCCTCCACGCCGCCGCTGGGTCCTTCCTGCAGGAACAAAAGCGCTCACTTCTCCAGGCAGGTCTCGGTGGACGAAGAGAGGGGTGGGGAGATCCAGATGTTGCTGGAGGGGCGCGGCGGGGATTACCTGCGACCCAACAGTTGGAGCGAAGAGAAGGCGGGCGGGACGCGCGGCGTGCGAAGCGGGACGCTGCGCAGCGGGTCGGCCAACGTCCCCGAAGACTACCGAGGGCGGAGCGGAGGGCACAAACACTCGGCCTCCAACCACAAGCAAAGAGAGAGGTGGACAGATTCCCCAGCCACGGTTTCTTGGACTTCCCACCACAGGTCCCACAACCACAGCTCAGGGAGCTCCAAGCTGCTTGAGCTAGACGAGGAGAAGATGAGTAATTACGAGATGGAGATGAAGCCCCTCATGAGGATGGATTCTTATATGCAAGAGATTCACACCCAAAAAAGACACTACGGCAAAGGGGGAGCCTGCAGGAGCATGGCTGACGACCACCGCGGGGAAGAGCGGGGCTTCGGGGTTCAGAGACTGAGGTCTAAGTCCCAGAACAAAGAGAATTTCAGGCCAGCTTCCTCTGCCGAGCCTACGGTTCAGAAACTGGAAAACCTGAGATTTGGGGACAAAGCTGAGCCCCGGCTACTAAGGTGGGACTTAACCTTCTCCCCGCCACAGAAATCCTTACCTGTTGCACTAGAATCTGAAGAGGACAGTGGGGATGCGCTCAAATCCAGTACGGTAAGTAGGCAACGCTGTGCGTTCAGATCTGGCTGAGAAAGCTGGTACAGAGCTCTCGTGGGACTGCAGTGAGCTCTGCATTGCTACAGGTCTGTGTCTGGAATCTCCCCTCTCTTCTCCCTTGCTGCATGAGAGCACCTGCTGGAAGGGGATGCAGGGTTTCCTCTGCAGATTCTCTTGGTGGGAACAGTGGTTTTATCACTGGAGGATGCAAGCAGGGAAGTCTGAGCTTCGTAACCTGCCCCTGGGGACCAGCAATAAGAACATGCGAGCTGGTGGGCATGAAGCATTCACCTGGGGGAAAGGTGCAGGGGCAGGCGGGGTTTTGGTGACGCTTCCCTGTTGTGTTTTAGCAACAGAACTTCATGCTGGCTCAGGTTGTGACATGACCCAAGGAAGTGACATTGACCCAGTGGTGTGACATGACCCTAGAGCATGATGTGACCCAAGGGTGATGCATAACTCTAGATTGCAACATGACCCAAGAGTGTGATATGACCCAGGAGCATGATATGACCCAAGAGTGTGACGTGACATTCCTGCTCAATTTGTGGTGGTTGGGCATTGCATTGACCTGCAGCACCTCTCCACTGCTGTGTGATGCCAAAACAGTGTCTTTGTCACCGTGTTGCACCAGGGACCTGAACCAGGTGGAGCAGGGCATGTCACAAATGAGTTGGGCTCAGTCCGTGCAGGCAGGTGGGTGCAATTCAGACAGGGAAAGCAATGGGCAACTACAGTGAGGGTGATGGGCTAGTCAGGAGCTCTTCAAGTCAGGGAGAAGAGCATGATCATGCTTCCAGCAGGAGTGCAGCCTGTGGGATTTGGATAACAGCCCATGGGACACCTGTGGGTTCCTCATTTCGGGATGACAGGGGCTCGTTGGAGATGGCTGCTGGGAAGAGCTGGAGTTGTTCAGGCTAGAGAAGAGGAGACAAAGCAATCTTCAAGCGTATAACAGCTGCTCCAATGTAGAAAGCAATAATCTGTTCTTGAACAGAATTAATGGGCTTAAATTCGAGCAGAAGAGGCAGGGGTGAGCCATTAGCAACTGCTGGTGAGTTGAGAGCTGGGATCGATTCCCTGGTGGCTGGGAGGGAGGAGGTGGTGGTGTGAGAGCAACTTGGGCATCTGCGGCTTGGGTACAGCTTGGATGAAGCTGAGCTCTGCGATTTCTCGGGTCCTTCCCAGCCATTGTGTTTGGTGATTGCAGAACTCACACTGAGAGCAGCTGCCTCCCTTCCCCCCTGTGTTTTGCAGTGCTGGGTGAAGTGCTGGTGGTCTGATGGGGGCGGTGGGGAAGTCAGCACCACTCCAAGCATCCCCTCGTTGAGTCGGGCAGGGCTGGATGGTCCTGTGCTGCCAGAGGATGGGAGCAAATGGGTGGGAGAAGGAAACAGTGGCATCTCAGCCCGTGAGCAGCCAGGATGCTGCAGGTCTGCCGTGATAAATCACCCCCACACGCAGCCCTGTAGCTTTCTGCCTTCCTATCCATCCTGCAAGCTTCAGCGCAGGCTCCAAAGCACCCACACAGCATTTCAGAGGAGCTGAAGGCAGCGTGTCTGCTGGTGGACTGCAGGATGCAGCTTGCCAGGCCGGCAAAACCAGTGCTCCCAGTATGAGCACGCACTGCTGAGCTGCAGCTTTGGGTGCACAGATCCCAAGGCAGCATCACAGCGATGGCAATTCGGGGTGAATGCAGGGCAGTGCCCAGAACAGCCATTAGGCTGCACATCGTCCTTTGAAGTGCTGTAGCTGCGAAGCAGCATGTTCAGTTTTCTCACATTCATAACCGAGGGTGGAACAGATGGCGGAGGTTTGGGAGGAAGCTAATGTAATACAGAGGAAGGGATAATATGCAGATTTAAATAACCCACAATGCCAGCAACAATTTGTTCTAGCGGGAACAGCAGTGTGCTAGCAGGGGCGGCTGCAGCGGCCGGGCAGCAGTGAGGGGTGGGCAGCAGGAGCAGCCATGTGCCACCCCCATGTCCCACCCCCATGTCCCATCCCACCAGCACTGCTGTGACCTCGCCTGCCCCTTCCTCTCAGCCTTCAGAGCTGGGGTTCCCTTGGTTTCCCTTCTCCTGTAAGGCCGTTCCCTGAGGCCGCTGCTCCATGCTTGGTGCTCTGCTGTCAGGGGGTCACAGCAAAAAATTACGCTTGGAGCTGCCTGATCTGTGTGAGTGCATACAGAGTGAGCCCATGTCAGTCATCACCTGGATGAAAGCATAAAGCAATGTGTTGAGGCCAGCGCTGTCGGGTTAAGGGACTTGTATAGACATCACTGTCCATTCCGGCCCTGAGAAACACAAGGCACAGAGCTCAAGGCTGTGTCAGAGTGGGTTCCTGGAGCCTTTGAGATGGCCTAAAACAGGAAAGGAGGAAGGGAATTGCTGAGCTGCTGGAAGGGGAAAGGTTTCTAAGACGCCAGCAGCTCCTTTTATCCATGAACATGCTGTATTTTTAGGACTGAGGGGGAAAGAAAAGAAGAACATAACCCTTTTCTGCAGGTGCTGAACATCTGCAGCCCCCAAAAAGAAAAACTTCAGGGCCGTGGGTCCCCAGCACAGCTGTGGGAAGGAGCCCCCATCTGCCTGTCCCCATTCGGGGGCAGAAGGCAGCGGCATGCGAGCAGGCTGGGTGCTTGGCCCTTTAAAATCCCCCCACTGAGAAAGCCTGATAGTGGGGCAGGAGCCAAAAAAAAAAAAAAAAAAGCCCCATCCGCTGCTGACATCCCGATCCATTGTCAGATGCGATCTCCGCGGTCGCAGCCCGTGCTGATGGCATTGCTGCTTATCGCAAAGGGCGAGCAGCCCCCGGGGGGGGAGCGGACACGAGGTCTGCGAACCGTCTGCAGGGTTACGGATGGCACAAACCCCCCCCCCCCCCCCCGTGCCAGGCAGGAGGACGCAGGAGCTGCAGCATCCCCCCGCCCGCTGCCTGCGCATTTCCCACCCATGTATTCCGAGCAGGTTTCCCTGTCGCTGGGGAGAGCAGGGAGGAGGCAGCCAATGTGCAGCCGGCTTTGCCGGAGCCGCACCGCGGCGGCGTGGGGAAGGCAGATCGTATGGACCCCCCCCTTTACTCCCCCCCCCCAACCCCCAGCCCTGCATTTTGGTTAAAGCAGCAGATGGCAGAGCTCTGCCTGCATCTCTGGGTGCTGCAAAAAGCACCCGGGGATGCTTTTGGTTGGCATCGCTAGGGCTGAGCGCTGCGTCCTCTCCTCTTTCCATCTCAGATTTTTCCTTCTTTCCTTTCTCTCTTCCTTTCTTTCCTCCCCTTCCCACCAGGATCCCCACCTCTCCTAACGTGATCATCTTTGAGATTTTCTTGCTTCCCTCACCTCATCTAAACAAACTCCCCGCAGGTTTGCAACCCAACCCCAGCTGGGCACAGCCCAGCACACGCACACACACCTGCAAACAATCACGAGCTGTAATTGCAGGGCAGGAGGAGGAGCACCGCCCTGCCCGCACCTGGTGGCTGTCACCCTTGGGGGGCAGCTGCTGGCATAGGGATGGACTGCAGTGCGTGCTGCTGCCTGCACCAAGTTTGGGTTTCTTGCTTCTTAAATCTGTTCTTCCTCTGATCTCTTCCACATGCAGACATCCTTTACTTATACAGAACACAAATAACGTTCAGAGAACAATGCGATGCTGAACCCAGCAGTGTCCCTTTCCCACCCATTCTGTCTCATGGCCCTCGGATGGAGCTGAGGAGTGCAGCTCTTTTTGCCATCCCCCACCCTGCTGTCAGCCCACTCTGCACCCCTTTCAGCTCTGAGAAAGCTGAGACCAAATGCCACCTCCTGACCAAAATCCTGAACCCACCACCCCCTTACCAAAGCCAGCCCCCCTTCTCCCCTTGCTGAGCACTCCTGTGCTGTGTCACAGCATCCCATGCCTGGCAATTAGGTGACAATTCAGCACTAATGTCACCCGGCCGTGAAGTTTTCAGCATTTCTCGTAGTGCTGAGGCTGGAAAACAATGCCCGTATGCTTTTTGCTGATCCAAGTCCTTAGTAATTACACCTAATAGATCCCAAAGGGATTCCTAGGTAACCTGCATGATGGTTTCCATGGCAGAGATGAAGCTCGTGCCCCTGCGATAACTGATAATAATGGATTGTTAATACTTAAATACGGTTGTGACATAATTAATTTGTAAACCAGCTGTCCCATGTGTTCCCGGTAAGACTCAAGTTGCTACAGAACAGTTAAAGGAGAAAAAACACACCAGAACACACAAACAAAGCAATGGGGGAGGAGTGGTGGTGATAAACACCAAAAGATGCCCCGAAGTGATGGAAGCATTCATAGGGATCACTGCTGAGCACTGCTGTGCCATAAGGAGGGGTTGTTCACTTTTTGGCATTTCCAAGGCTTGGGATCTGTGTTTTGGCTTGTTCAACTCAGGAAGAAAGCCTGGAGTTTCCAGAGCTGACCCCTGCATTTGCAGGAGCCCCAGCACCTGCTGGTACCCACACACCTCACCCACCCTTGGCAGGGGTTTTCCTTCTCCCACAAAGGAGCCCAGGGATCTTATTATAAAGCTGTGCCCCAGAGCTGCAGTGCTGATGAAATTTGCCCAACATCCTGGGATGGAAAAAAGGAATCATGGCTTAGAAGCAGATGAGACATCCCTCAGAACACCTCTGCCATCCAAAGGGAGAAGAGCGAGTGCTTGCTCTGAACAGAGGCAAAGGCACAAAGACTTCACGAGTCAGAAATAAGCCAGATGTAAGCATTGAGAAGTGCAGCAGGATTTGTAATTGGAGCTAAAACAGAAGCTTTAGTGTCCCAAAGCTGCTTATGTGGGCAGCTGCTGCAGGCAGGGCTCCAGCCCCTGCCAGGGGATGCACTGTGAGGCCAGTGGGTACCAGCCCTGGGAGAACTGCTGGGAGGGGAGAAGAGCCTGGAAAAAGGAGACAGAACCTGCAGCTGAGGGACTGCTGGCTTTGAGCTGTGACAGCCTGCAAGGCCCTCCCTCCTGCTCATCCCATTTCTGAGCTTTGCTTTTGCTAGCAAACGTAGAAGAGTCCAGCTATACAGTAGCAAAGCGAGTGTAGGCTCTTGGCTCTGCACTGAAATGCAAGATGCAAATGGGTGCAGACTGGAGCAGAACATTCATATAAGGGCACCCAGGTGTTGCTGGTGCCAGCAGGTGGGTGCTTGGCTGGTTGACTCTTGCATTTCTCTGGCTGAGAGCACACCCAGATAAATCCCTCCCCAGCCTCAGCCCCCAGGTACCAAAGTGCTGTAATCTGAGCCGGAGCACTGGGTCTACCCCCAGGTGAGGATAAAGCTCAGATATCAGGGAATTAGGAATCCTATGCATGCCCTTAGCTGGGAGGAGAGCGCATCCAGAGCAGCGCGGGCTCACGGCACTGCTGGATAAGTTTGCATCCTATATGTGTGTGTCATCGAGGTGATCCCACAGGCAGAGCAGGGCAGAAATGGTCACTGCCCTTTGGCAGGGACACGGAGCTGTGTGTGGACCACAGCTGATGTCAGTGTGCCAGGGAGCAGCCCTGGCTGTGAGGTGGAGGAAACCAAACGCCTTTTTGTGTCTCAACGCTGCTCTGCCAACAGAAACAACAGCAGCGATCATCGCTCACAATCTGTTATTGCATTGACACGAGCTCAAAAAATCACAAAACCCAATAATCTTCTGCAATAGAGCTAAAACCCCAGAAGTAAATTGTGCACTGCAGCACCTGGCAGCAGCAGAAGGGCTGGGTTGTGGCTCCCAAGCTCAGGCAGTGCAGGTGGAGGTGGCTGGGAGCAGCCAGGGGGGGTACCTGGCTGCCAACAGCTGCTCTCTGCCATCCCTCCCTCTGCTCAGCTCCCTCTGACCCTGTTGCTAAGCTACAGCTATGCCTTTCCAGCAAGCTCCAGCAAGCTCCAGCATCCTCACTCCCACCCACTCCCAATGCAAACTGAATCAGATTGCTCAGAGAAGGGAGCCGCTGGGTCCAGCATGGAGCGTTTCTTCCAGCAGCCCTGGTACAAGGATTTCCTCACAGTGTGCCCAACCCTGCCCCGTGCCACCTGGATGGGCACAGGGGCTCTGTTGGAGCATAGAGGAACCATCTGCACCATTGCAGGCTGTTAGAGCTAGCATAGCTCTGCAGCAGTGAGAATAGATGAGGATGCAGCGACACCAAGAAATAGCTGCCACCTACCTGCATACATGCCTGCTCTCCCTGCTATCACTTTAGGACAGGAAATGTTGTGCAGTCCCTTCCCGTTGCCCCATTGGGGTCCAGCAGACACAGCTGATGTCATTTACCTGGACTTGAGCAAGGCCTTTGACATGGTCCCCCACCACATCCTTATCTCCAAATTGGAGGGATGTGGATTTGATGGGTGGACCACTTGATGGATAAGAAACTGGTTGAAAGGCCGCAGACAGAGGGTGGTCATCAATGGCTCCATGTCCAGGTGAGGCTGGTAACGAGCGGTGTCCCCCAGGGGTCTGCCTTGGGACCGGTGCTCTTTAACATCTTTATCAATGACACTGATGATGGAATTGAGTGCACCCTCAGCAGGTTTGCTGACAACACCAAGC